TATAATCTACTCGATATATCCTAATTATCAAACTGAAATTCATTCATACATTACTATAAAATTGAATTTTCTTTTTCAAATCAATAAATATAACTGTGTATACAGTAACTACATTGATTTTCGAGGTATCCACGACCAGAGTATAAGAAAGGATTTGGAGTCGAGAGTAGACTTAATTTGGAAGATAAAGTAGAGAATATAGTATTCAGACAATATTTTGTATGCTTGCAACATTAATGTTCGAGACATATTTTACAAATCATGAAATAGGAATGTGTTCAAGTGAATGACTGATATATTAAAAAACGTTTTCTTTAATATAAGCACTTTCGATACGTATGATTAGTGCCACTCAAATCGTGTCTTTAGAAAGAAAATACGATGTGTATAGAGCACTTTGATATATCTTATAGAACGAATATATTTTTCAAATGTCAACTATAGTCAGTGTTATTATTTTGAACTTAGATGTTGATATTTTGTTAAGAAGAAAGAATCGTTCGTAGTAATAAATGAATTTCATTTCAAAGTTAACTAGATAACTAAAAATAACATGATGAAAAATGATCCTACTGTATTACTCTAAAACATTTTCACATATCTCAATGTATGATTCTTTTGTGTTTATCACCTAAAATGTTAAAAAAAAATTATCGTTTCAAAACTTGAGTAGCTATTTTCTCAAAATCGTTCATCTGTTCAGCAGCAACATCATAATCATAATCATGTGAATCGTCTTCATCAGTTTCTTCATCACTCTCATTCGAATTACTATCATTGTATGTAATTGTTGTTACTGATTGATTTAACGATCGTTGGCTATCGTTTATCTTTTTTCGTCGTTGACGAGTGAGACATGAAAAGTAACTTTTTATTTGTGATGTTGTAAGACATTCTTCTGGTGAAAAACGAAATTGACCATTTTCTTTAATAAATGGCATCTCCTGCAAAAACTACTATATTGTTTTCGTCTTTATGTATATATTCTTCTTACCAAAGACAGTGTTTCTGGATTTGATTTTAATCCTGAGTTTTCTCCATCCTGATATGCATCGATAAGGTATTGTTTTTGTGATTCAGTAAAACGAGTATTTGTTCTTGGCGAAGACAAAGCCCACCCTTTTGACAAAATAACATTCCACTTACCATCGGTGTTAACAATGGTATTAAAATTTTGCAGACGAACAGGTACTCTTTGATTGTCATTTTCAAGAAGAGTTTGAAATATGATTTTTGCTTTGTCGAGTAATGGCATTTTTACTTTTTTTAAAACATGTTTACCTGTATCGAGATGACTTTGAAGATCATAATATCGACGATATTGACGAATACAACCTTCTACAGGACAATCCCATAGCAGAAATTCTGAAGAGTTCGACTTTTCTGAAGCATGATCAATTAAATCATCATCAACATCCATATAATCGTCGACATCCACTATATCTACAGTTATGTAAATTAGTATTGACATCAATTAAAAGTCATAATGGACCGTAAGATTCATATGAAATATTCAAAATATTATTTTAACTATGCTCATAGAGAACTTGTTTTGAAAGAAATATCAACATACCTGTTGATGATTCTACACTTTTCCATGAATTATCTTGAAAACATGCTTTATCGTCAAATTGTAATGGTACTATTTCATCAACAGTCGATTTCAAATCTGATAAATTAAATAATTTTCCTTGTCCAACATTGAATGCACGCCAAGTTTTGATTTGTATTCCAGTAGATGATGATCTTGATGGCATTGTTGTACGTTTATATGTAGCAGAAGTATCTTTTAGTGTAAATTCAATGTTATTGTATTTGGTAACTCCTTCCCATTTAACTTTTTTATTGTTTTTTGCTAGTGGCAAAGCGCATGAGAAAATAGAAAGATGTTTGGCTGATTTGGCAGCAAAAGCAAAATCACTACTTGTCATACAATCGTTCTTTTCATTGACAGATAAACGTACTTGTCCTTTCAAACAAGCACTTTTCCTATCGCAATCACTTTTACCTGCTTGAGCTTCGAAAAAATCCACTCGACGAATAAAAATACCCGTTGATTCATATAAACTTTTCACGGCTAGTAGAGTTCCTGAGCCATGATAACAACCTGCGTTATCACTACGTATAAACGCCGTATTAATTTCTGGATAGGTTGATTTGATTCGCTTGAAGACATCTTGAAGAATGCTAATAACCGTTGTACTATTTTGCAGGGCATTATTGAATACGTGACAAAATGTTCGATTTTCAAAAACTTTTTTCGTACTTATTTTATCTGTTGATGATGAAGGTTTTAAAACGCACAACGTGCGTTATGTGCCATGGAAGACCTTTGAGGGCATAGAACTCTGATTGAGATTGACGATATTTACTTTGGATCCATTTCATAGCCCAATCAATTATCAAGAATATCTAAACAAATACGTAGAGAATTATATTTAGTTTTTGATTAGATTTAATCATTACCACTTTTAAACTTTCCGAAAAATCCAAGAGAAAAATCATATTATTTTAGTGTTCTATGTTTCTGAATTATCTATTCGTTTTCAACAAATCTTATATTGATTTTTATCAATAACAAGTTGGAAAAAATACGTTTGATCGAGATATATATCATGTATCATACATGTCCTCTATCAAAGATGTGATTAAGTTCTCGTAGAAAAAGAAATTTCAGGTCTATAATATTAGTCTTAGAATAATCTTCGTATTTTTTTACCAATAGCAAAATCTAGAAAGAACGCAATTGATTGAAAAATGTTACCATTTCATTTCGTAACACCATTCACTGGAACACATCTTATTTCTATCAACTATTCACTATTAGTCAATATTTGTGGAAAAAATTTAATTTTATCGGATCAATTCGAATTATAAACCTTATTTTCAAATTGAAAGTTCGTCTAAAATATTCTCGTCAGAAAAATTATAGTCACATTTTTGCCATTTCTATCTCTATAAATATACGGCATACAAGGATAATAACGTTTGTATTATTTTTTGTATCATGTATTGCACATCATGTCTAATCAGTAGATTAAGTTTGACAAAATTTATTTTTGATGAGTATTTTTAGAATTTGACATTGTAGTGTATATTAGAAGAACCATATATGTAGTCATCCGTGCAAATAAACATATATTACTAAATCTGTACGATTGGGAAAGGATTTATTGTTTCAGTTAGCTTCATTTTTATATTATTTACTCTATTAATTAGTTGGTTCAAAAGTCAGAAGAATGAGTCTCTTCAAAAAAACCATATTTATGAAAAAACGTTAGTAATCGAATTAATCTAAGATAGATTTTCTTACGCTGTTTTCATTTAAAGAATCAAGAGCAGCATCACGAGCAGCATCCTGGTGCACAGCTCTTAATTGATGTTTTTTCCATTCTTGTATAGAATTCACGTGGCGATTGAATAATGATAAGTAACGAATACGAATATCTTCGAGGATTTCTTTATTTTCTTTTAAAATCCATTCAATCTGAGAAAAAGTGTTGTCGATTAGCAAACAATCTTCACATCTAAAATCCAAGGATATTACATGTTTCTGTACAATAAGAAAAAAAGTTGAATTCACCTATCTGTATGAGCATGATCACAAGTTTCATTCCAATCATGAACACTTTCATCACTAAGACCAAACGTAGAACAATGATCGGCTATCGTGCTACTGGTAGAAACATGAGTTTTATAATCAATTTTTATATAATTTCTGCATTGCTGTAAAGCCTTTTGAAGTTGAACAATTGTGTCAACTGGAACATCTGAAAGCGAAGCAGTATTTAATTAATTTGATTACTAAAAAGCACTTACGAAATATAGCAAACTCGTCACATATTTTTTTCAGGTTATCAAAAGCTGTTGATCCATTAGCGGCATAATTATCTATACCTGACATACTTTTTCGAGTTGAAGCCGAGCATCCTTCCAATATAGCATATAATGAGGAATCACTAAGGGGTTTAAATTCCCCATTAGTTGTTTCATGACAATACGAATGGTATTGTTGGATTATACGGGTGCTAATTGTATTTCGAATAGTATTGACTACTTCAAGTGTTTTTCCTGTTGTCAACTTTAGAGTTTTTTTTCCAAATGGAATATCAGTTGTAACATATGGTGAAACAACGAACTCCAGAAAATGTCCAACTTGTTGCTCATTGTATCTTTGTACAGGTTCACGTTTTGTGTTGACTGGAGCACCTCGGCCTAAAGAGGAAACGAGTAAAAGATTTTATAGATATTCCACGAAATAAGATCCAAATAAAGTAAATTTAAAGTGTAAAACTTCCTTTATTCGTTTATAAACTTTGTAAGTTAGAGCATATCACTCGTAGAGAATCATTATTATCTCTTACCTCAAAATTGGACAAGAGTTTTTCATATGACATAGATTTTTTCACAAAGAAAGAGAATAATTTCGTTTCAGATAGACTCATCAATACTAGGTAAATCTAGTTGTTTCAATATCTTTTCATTTATATTACCTTTACTATATGCATGTTTACGTGCGGCTTTTATTTGATAACTATTAACACTTGGAAGATGAGCACGAAGCACACCAGATGGAAAATCAGCAGCAACAATACCTAAGATTTGTCTTTTGATCGAGTAATGATCAGCATTAGTCAGAGCAGTATTTATGGCAGTCATTGTCGTATCAAAATTACTAAGAAACGAAAACAATAGTCTACTCTATATAAGCTTTTGTTCTTTTACTTTTCATCAATATAATCTTCATATTCATCATTCATATAATCTTTCCAAATAATATCAGCTTCTTTTGCACTAAGGATGTTCAAAACGTGAGAGAGTATTTTCCTTGATTGGCAACGGAAATTACACTGACTGCGTGGTTGAAGATTGGCGTAAGAAAATGTTTTAGTTATTCGACCATCAAAACCTGTATCTTGAAGAAATTTTTTTCGAATATTAAAATTATCAGTGAATATCGATTGGTCGAGCTCGTCAATCGCCGGTTGACAATCATCATCTTCGGAATCAGATGATATAGGCGAATGAAAAACATCATTATCATCATAAATCCAAGCTAAGCATTCAATATAAATAAAGTTATCTTTAATTATTCGTCTTACCAAAAATTGTATCAGCCTTACAGCGCATCTCTTTCGTCAAATATTTACTTTCAAAATATTTTCGACATTTACCACATACTGGTTTATCATAAAATGCCCATCGGTGTTTAGGATAACCTTCCTCCCAAATACCAAGTGCAACTGGCTTTGAAATATTTCGAATATCACTAGTACTTGTAACATCTTCTTTTCTTATAGATATACATGTATGACATCGTTTTTTATCATTTTTTTTCAAATATTTTAGATTCTCTCAACAAATAAGTTCTGTATCAATATACTTTATTTC